TCAGGGTTTTTTTTTTCTGGTTAACTATGGCTGTGGTTTTGTTACCTTCTAGCTGCTGCTCTACGATAGTGTAACTCCTTCGGTGTAGTTTGTATTTTTCACTTGGGTTGTGTTTTTTTGCACACATAGTGTGATGCAGAAAATAAAAAAATAAATTTTATGCTGCTGTTTTTGTGAATAGTCAGTGTTGTTGTTCTTTTTTATTGCAGACCGATAGTGATAATGATGAGAGGAGTATTGTTGAGGAAATGCAGAGACGAAAGTGTGTGTTGTCTGTTGCACTGTCACCTCTGTTGCAGTTGTTTTCTCTAGCGCATGAAGGGGAAAGGAGGGGAGATGGTGGACCTCACCTGGAGACCCTTTGTTAGTGTTAACATTTGTGTGCATGATGGAAGGGAATGGGATTGTTTCTTTGTTGCTGCTTTTAATACAGAACAGAAAAGAAAGCAGTGTCAAAGAAAAATGAACTGGACAACCAGTTGCAATGATGTGGGTGAAATAAAAGAATGAAACTGTGTTTGTGGGATGCATTGCAGTAGTGTTGTTCCTCAGTGGAGAGTGGTGTTGCACGCATTCTGTGTCCACCCAAACATGAACACGTGCTTGATATCTGCGTTGTGGTGAATAAAGGAGTCTTCTTCACTGCTGATTGAGTATTGATACTGGAGTGAACACAACTCATTGTGCATGAGGATGACCCTTATCTTGCAGGATAACAGACTGTGGGGAGTAAATCACTGTGCAATGACACTGAATGGAAACCCATGCTGTATATTCTGAGTTAAATACAGTGTACGTACAAATTGCTTTCTCTTGGTAACATGAGTCTTGTATTCTTGTAGATTGTGTGTGTGTGTGTTTGTGTCACTCAGTGTAAACTGTTTCCTGTGTAGTTTTACAGACATTTCATCCATTTTCTCTCTTTTCTTTTTCTTTTTGTTTTGGTGTTGCAGAAGTGAGTGAGTAGTAAAAAAATGAAAATGTTAGCGAGTCAAGGAGGAAGATTGTTTAAAAAAATGAATCTCTATTCGACGAACAGCATCATATCTTCCTTCTTTATTCGGCATCACTTCTCCATTCGATCGTTCCACAATAGCAAAGTCAGCTTATTCAATCAACCCCCAGCGGTACGTGGAAGAGTGGAAGTTGTACCTCAACCCAAGTGGACATTGAACAGTAGAGTCAGGGAAATACTGGTGGAGACACCTAAACTAAATGATTTCCTCCGCAATAATGTGGGTGGCAGGGGTGTTGTTGATTCCAATGAGAATGTTACCATGGAGGCATTTATCATAGAACCGGATACGTATATTCAGGGTAAAAAACTAAGGGATCATATTATTGCATTGCCCGCCTACAAGAAAATAAAGGAAGATATGGGGATTCTGCGGGAGGTTGCAAACAATCTTGAAAAGGCAGGAGTTTATTATCTCCATCAATGGGACAAATTCAAGTACAAAAAAAGGATTCCTTTTATGGCAAGGGGAAAGCTGGATGGAGCTCTTAATATTGCAAAGGAGAAGGGGTTTGTTTCTCAGGATGCTACGCCTTTGGTTATTGAAGGTGTATATGAATCTGTGTATAATGCGACATGGCACTATGTGCAGGGTGTTGGTGGTAGGGGATTCGGTATGCGAGTTAAAAAGGGTCATCCACCGCAACCGTGGACAGATGGTGAGGTGTTGTGTTGTCCCATACTGCCCTTTTCTGAGAAATCTGAGGATGGACGTCTGGAGATGATGGTGCTCACCTCTGAGAAAGGATGGCCATGCACAGAGTTCAGTATGAGAAGGAGCTGCGATATTTATGTTAACAGGGAGGTGATGCGTGTATGGCATAAAATTCTAAAGAATCTGGATGAGTGTTTTGGCAAACGTGTGCATGCAGGTAAGGAACTCATTCCATATGTGTTAATTGGAACGCCTGGAATTGGCAAGTCCTTTGCAGCTGGTTCATTCCTCCTCTATCAACTGTTGCACTACAATGCAAAAGAACTCCCAGTGATTGCGTACTTCATTAGGGGTGGGGCCTATCTGTTTGAAAATGACAGTGAAGGTGGAAAGGTGACTTGGTACGAAAATGAAGAAATGGCAGTAAGTGTTGTAGAGAATTTCTTTAAACAAGGTAAAGAAAATAAAGAAAAAAGAGGATACATAATCTATGATGTGGATGAGGAAAGTAGAGGACCACCGAAACGACTGCCTCCTTCAGGGTGGGGCATGATTGTGATAACACCCCCGAATGCGGAGAAATATAAAGGATGGAAGAATCAAAAAGGAGCAGAGTGGATCGTTCTTGATTGCCCATTTCTGATTGATATCAAGGCCATGTGTACATGGGAAAAGCGCAACCAATCTGATGAATTTGAGTATTATTGGGAGAAAATAAAGGAACGTGTGAATGATATTGGGCCACTCCCTCGTTACATTTTCGATGGTAATGCATATGAGGAGCGATGCAGTGAAGTGGAGTCTGCGTTGCGTGGGATTTCAAAATCCAATGTTTCGGAATATGAAAAAATCATGAAACTTAAGGGCGAATGGAATGATCAGAGTCCTTCTCATAAACTACTAAAAATATGCCGTCAAATCGACGAAGATGATCGCGATAATATGAAGATTAGGACGATTACTGATGAATTATTCGATGCTATAATAACTCACGTGGGCAGGTTTTATCAGACTCCAGATCCGACTTCACGTCACTTCTTCAGAGGCGCGTCCGATCTTGGATTATTTGAAGAGGTAGGTGCTATGGCATTGTTAAATGGTGACTTTGTGGCTGCGCTTGCTGCGCGTATGAAAATAATTCAACCCCCTGGAGGGCGGGAGGGGCAGCCGAGTGTTCTGCAAGGGAGATGGTCGGCCCCGTATCCCCATACCGGGTATCTCTTCTTTCCTATGGATAATAAAGAAGGCAAGAGAGAGATAGAGATCAATAAGCTTTACTTTCATTCACATGAATTTCCTCTGGTGAAGGGTTTCTACATTGTGATTCCCCCAAGGGGAAGGACCAGACTGATTGGGATACGAAGTGTAACTGCAGAAAGTCGTGAAATTACAGCTATTGCAGTGGCTGATTTCAAGAAACAGCTTGAGAGCTCATTTTCTGGTTGGGCTGGTGTTGCCGATATAATAACGTGGGAAATCATTTTCTTTCACCCTCAAGGGGGCAGACAAGATGGAAAATGGCAGAAATGCACGTTGAGCAAATCGGGAAAGTATAGCCATGAGCAACAGAACGACATTATCAAATTCTGGAATGAAAAGGTAAATCAGTATCGCGTCAATTAGGCTCCTTTCCCTACGTGGCATACAACCTTCGTTTTAGGATCGCTACATGAACAGGAGAATACAGCGACAAGAAAGAATAAACGACGAACAAAAAACACAGTTTCAACCGAGATGTGTTTTAATTCCAGAAATATTAGTGAAATAAAATATTCCTTCAACATGTTGTGTTTTTATTTTTTTGTAGTATGAGTTTAAGGGTAAAACAAATATGCCGAATGGTCTCACAAAACAATGACTAACTGCCCGGTATATTGCCCATTTATAATTTCTGTTTTCTTTTGGGATACAGCACAAATGACAACGTATATTAATTTTTGATTTCCTTGAGTTTTTAAATTATTTTCAGGGTGGATGGGTGAAGGGGATTGGGAAAAGGGATGATCTAATTTTACGCTTGGTAAAAAAAAATAATAACATATTATGTTTTCTTAGTTTATATATGTGTGGGTGTTGTCATTTCAGGTTTGTTGTTTTGAAAAATCCACTCAATACGTCCTTCTTTGTGCTGCGCGGGTGGTGGTTTAAAATGGGCTCTCAGCATTTCCTTTTCGTCAGTATTAATTATGAATTGGCAATTGAGACTCCTTTTTAGTTTTTAATTAAAATGCAATAGGGAGCAAAAAAACATAACAGGAAAGTACTAGGTGCTTCTTTTTTTTTGGTTTTTCTGCTCCACCTAAATGGTAAATTTATTACTGTAATGGGAATCTTTGAGGGGAGGGGAAAAATTATCAAAATACAACGCATATTTCCGCTCTGCGTGAAGGGAAAGTGTTTTAAACTATTCTGCCACTTGCCGCTCCCCAAGGGGGATCCCTCTCGAAAAAAAGAGGGGCAAACTAATAAAAATATTTTCTCTTTCTCTCTTTGTTTTTTTTTTTCTTGTACTTTATGAGCCCAGCAAAGGAAAAGATAAATTACATTAAGGATACCCACCTAGCCTCCCTCGTCATCCACTGCAGAAAATTCCACGAGGGACAGGGTGTGCCACAAAAAACGAATTCCACCAATGCACGTTACAAAACAACGAAAACAAGAGACCTTCCGGCATTAGTCTGTCCCACATGCAGTCGCCAGTGTATGAGTAAGTCAGGCCTAACTCTACACCGAGTGTCGCGACACGGGTACAAACCGACTCGCGCGCCTCAAAGCCAACGCGATGAATGCGAAGAAACAGCTCTGCATCTTTTGAGTTGCCCCACTCTTCATCCACTGCGAGTTCAATTTACGATAATTGATGATGTACCCCTGATGAAACTATGTTTTTCTAAGCGGTTGGCAAAATTCCTTATTGCGGTGGAGCGGAACTACACTATGCCAGAGTTTTCGCAACCAAGAATCCCTAGGCAGCCTACCTCCCCCTCCGTAAGACCTCCCCACCTCTTTAAAATTAGCGACGGGCACGACCATGGAAACCCTGATAGAAGAGTAAGCTCAAGGCGTCTGTCACTGACCAAAAACAAGCAGCAAAATAAATAGGAGTTCATTGAGGCCAATCTATTATAAAAAAAAAAATAACAAAAATAACCAAAAATAATAACAAAAAGGAGACTTGAGGATGGGTTTTGGGTAAGAACAGTGAGAGTAGAGAGATCTGGTTGGGTTTACTCGATCAGATTTCTCTTAGACTGGTTCTATCGTATGGGAACGGGCTACAACAAAAATCATATTACAAGAGCTTGAGGATCCCATAAAATAAAGGGATCTTCCTCTTCGGAGCCACCCCTAAGCCAGTAACTAGGTGCTCTACGGTGGACGGCTGATAGCCGTACCATTGGAGTAATATCCATAAAGACACGAAGAAATAATAAGAAAAAACGTGGTGATCTGGTGTGGGTTCCTTTTTTTTTGGAAGGTGGTGGAAGGGGATATATGGGATCGTACCTTCCTAATATACATCCTGGGGGAGTGGGTGATACGTGATTTTTTGTTGATGGTGGAGTGGGGAAAAAAGGGGAGAACCGGCGTTTTGTGGGGAAGGTAAAAACATAGTAATAAGGATAAATAAAGAGGTAATATGTGTGTGAGAGTAGGTGTGTGTTGATTGTGTTTGTAAAGATTGATATGGTTACAGTTATGTATGCAGTCATTTTGTTATGGTTGTGAGTGGGTTTTAGATTCCAATTGTGATGGTGGTATAAATATTATGGTATTGCATTGGTTTCTTTCTTTTCTGTTTGGAGGCGTGTTGATTATTGTACACTCTTTTTGTTCTGCTAGTGTTTTGTGGCATTGTTATTGCTTGCTGCTGGGCGTACACTGTGTTTTTGGTGTTCGAGTTGCGTGGTAATGATTTTATTGTAATTGGAATGCAGGTACATTGTGTATGATTGCCGAGTAAGATATTGAAGTGTGTGTGGAGACGTTTGTTTGATACTGTTTTGTTTTTATCTTTTTCCTTTTGAATTCAAGGTGTTGTTTGAATATCTGTGTAACTCTGAGTGTTTTTTTGTGTGAGGGGTTTGCTGCTGATCCCCCACTGTGTTGTGTTTGATCGCTCTGGTGATGTGTAATCTCCCTCTACCTTGTGTGTCAAATGGGAGACTCATTTCTCTTTCTCTTCTTCCTTGTTATCACAGACCCAGGCAACCCACAGTGACAATCATGACAACGATGTTCGTTCAACTACGCCGTATGGTGTACCTGTTGGTACTTCTGCAGTGCTGTGTGGGTGTGTGCACGGGAAAGGAAGCCGGTCGCCAGCCAACCGGTGAGTGCCTTAATAAAAGAGATATCGAGATGGGGGAGAAGATGTTGAGAGCTATCATCGATCCCTCGGCAAAAGCGTTTGGCGGTGCGCAGGATTGTTTGGCGATATGGAGGGCGGACGTGGAGGCGTGTAATGAGAATTTCAAGGAGGTGGAGTATGCCGTGAATACCACCAGAGAGGTTTTTGTGATGGTGGGTCTTGAAAAGGAGAACGGAGTTGAGGCGGTGACGAGTTCTCTGGAGCGATGCAACGATCAGAAGGTCAAAAGTTATGCGGCCAACTTGACGGAGATGGTGAAGGTAGTTAATGGAGCCATAAAGAAGATGCCAGAATTATATAAAAAAACGTCTGAGAAGGCTGCGGTGTGCGTTGCATTTAAAAGTGAAATGGATCACGTGGTGAAGAGGTTGACTGATGCCCGCGCTGGGTATTTTGCCATTATCAACGACAAAGACAGTAACGATTGCATGACGGAGGATAGGTTGAGGTACATTGGAGATCTGAACAAGACGTACGATGGTATGAAGGCTGTCTCGGATGATCTCAAGAAAGTGCAGGGAAACACGCATGTTTGCAAGCTTAACTCTTTGGGGGAGTCCCCTAATTATATGAAGAGGATCGTGGAGTTAAAGGGTCGCTGTGAAGATGTTTTTTCGAAGGAAGAAAAAGTGGAGGCCAAGCCTAAGATGAGATCGGATGCAATGGAGAGGGTATATATGAATGGGACCGCAGCGGATGCAGGAGAAGAAGCGAAAAGGGGAGATGAGGATCCAGACGAAGTAAAGGCTCCCGGTGCGTTTCAACGAGTCAAGAAAGAGGTCATCAACAGGGTATTGGGGGAGATGGAGGTGGCGAAGCAGAAACGGATTGCTGAGAAGAGAAGGGCTGACGAAGAAAATGCCAAGAGGATCGCACAAGAAAAGGAGAAGAGGGATGCAGAGGAGAAAGCAAAGAGAGAAAAGGAGAAACAGGAGAGAATGGAGGCGGAAAAAGCGAAGAAGGTCAGGGAAGAGCAGGAGAGAATGGAGGCGGAAAAAGCGAGGAAGGCCAGGGAAGACCGGGAGAGATTGGCCATAGAAAAGACGATACAGAAGACCGAGAAAAAGACCAACCAAAAGAAGGACGGCTGTAATCCTGTATTGGTGCACAGTCCCTTATTGCTGCTTCTTGTTTTGATGAGTGTGCTGATCATTGTTCCCATGACACAGTTACACAGTTAACCTTTGTTTGAGTGGATATGGATGCATTGTAAGGGCACTGTTTTTTGTTGGTTGAATATCAGACCTTTTTAAAAAATATTATTATCCTGTTTGATGAATCTCTTGTTTGCACTTTTTTGCAGAACAAATCCATTGGGCACCCGTGGCACTCATCACATGATAAACCCTCTTTTTGTAAGGGGAGTGTCCTCTTTCTTTGTTGGCATTATCTGGGCTTTGTTTTGCCGCCGTTCACTTTGTCCGCCTGGTGATGTGTGTGTGTGTTCCGTGATATTACTAACTATTGCTTTTACCCATGGGAATGGGATATTTCCCCAACATGTTTTATTGACTGTGACTGAAACGTGAAGAATGGCAGGAGGTTCAAGACACACAAACACGCACACTACCAACCACCTTCCTTCTCCTTGTGTGTGTGGACCGTCATCATGTTTGTGTGCATCATTCCCACTGCTCGCCCTGTACGAAAGACACACACACACCTACTGCAGGGAATTGTGTTCTTGCCTCCTGAAGATATTCACATGGTGATCACGGCTTTCTTTCTTTGTTTTGTTTTCATCATTTTGTTTTTTCCCTTTGTGTGTGTTTCATTATAATTTCATTGCACGTTATGTGCAGCTGTGTGTTTCTCTTTTGCGTTTCCAATACACCTTGTGTGTTCATTTTTATGGTATAATATTTTGCTTTGATTATTTACAAACCAGAGAGTCAATAAAAATAATAATAATGAGAAGGATGATATACCCTCACCATTAAGTGCTTTTTAGGGATTTTGAGGTGGACGCTGCTGTGTCCAAGCATCGCAGCCACAGTAACAAATTAATTTCTTTTGCTTTTACATCTGTGCTCTTTTATTGTGTTTGCTTCACGCGGTCACTGTTTTTTTTCACATTTTTATTTTGGTATAAAGATCGATGGGTTGTAGGTGTTTGAGCGTGCTACTCTGTTGTGTGTTCCTTTGTGTATTTGGGTTGCTACTCGCACCGCCCACGTAATGAAGACGCATTTATTTCTTCTCACCTTCTCTCTCGGTTGGTGTCACTCACAGCATTGCCACGAACATATTTCTGCCCTTGTGGTGTGTGTTGTGTGGTTTGCTTGAGTGACTGCAGCCTGCGGGGAGGGACCGAGAGTGTTCCGCTTCGGCTTCACGTAATGGGTCTGTTTTTCTTTTTTCTTGTTGGGGTTAAGTTGATGTGCTGGTGTGGGTGAATGTTTTTCTCTGATGGGAGTTGCAGCTGTGTTTATTGTATTGTGAGTGCATTGTGTGATGTTAGTATCCTGTTGTTGTAGTTGTTGTTCTTTTCTTGTGTTTTTCTTTTCCTCTCTGTAGGTATGTGACTCAGTGTACATTTTAGCGAATGCCGTAGTGCCTCTCTGATATGAGCATGTGAGATTGTAAATGTGTGGACTGTGAGTGGGAAGGAAACTTTGTGTTGCTGGACCACTCCACTGCGGCGTCCGTGGGGTGCATTGAAAGGCGGCGTGACGATATCCACCAACATGTGTGTGAGCGACTGGAGTGACGGTGCGGCTCCCTTACGCTGGTCCATTGCTCTGCGGTGCGATTGGGGACACACATGAATGGAGTAATGTGAATTCCCTCTGTCCCGAGTTACTATCTAGCGAAACGACAGTCAAGGGAACGGACTTGAAGGGCTAAGCGGGGAAAGAAGACCTTGTTGAGTTTGACTCCAGTCTGGCTCTGTGCGGCGACATCTGAGGTGTAGTATAGGTGGAAGCGCAGGCACAAATGAAATACCACCACTCGGAACGTTGCTTCACTTGTCGAATGAAGAGACCGATGGGTTTCGCGTGGTCTGTGGGCTATGCACCGTCTAGGTTTGGGATTTTATGGCGGCAACCCCGTCTCCACGGGAGGTGGCGCGTGTTCGCAAGGGCATGTGTCCCCGTTTCTCTCCTTTACGGGAGGGCC